GCGAGTCGCACTGTCAGTTGTGGCGGGAGGGGCAGTAGCGGCACCTGACACGTGGTCAAACAGCGAAACACTGTTTTTATAATCGCTCATTAGGTACAGTTGCAGATCGTCGAGCCACGTGTCGAACTGAATCGGTCTGCCCTCATGATCGAACGGGAGAACTCGAAGCAAAGCCATAATGGCGCAGCACGCAGGAGTAGCAGTAGCAGCAGCCATAGCAGTAGTAGCAATAGCAGTAGCAACAGGAGCAGCAGCAGGGGCGACAGACCGGGAGGGGGGGGGGGGGGGCTAGGGGCGACGGGCTGCGGGGCCAGGTACGAAGGGGCCGAGGGGCCTGGGGCCTAGGGGCGACAGGCCGCGGGGCCAGGTACGAAGGGGGGGGGGCGAGGGGCCATGGGGCCTGGGGCCTAGGGGCGACGGGCCGCGGGGCCAGGTACGAAGGGGCCGAGGGGGCGAGGGGCCGGGAGCCTAGGGGCGACGGGCCACGGGGCCAGGTACGGAGGGGCCAAGGGGCCGAAGGGCTTGGGGCCTTGGGGCGATGGGCCGCAGGGCCAGGTACAAAGGGGCCGAGGGGCCGAGGGGCCGGGAGCCTAGGGGCAACGGGCCGCGGGGCCAGGTACGAAGGGGCCGAGGGGCCGGGGGCCTAGGGGCGACGGGCCGCGGGGCCAGGTATGAAGGGGCCGGGGGCCTAGGGGCGAAGTGGGCCTCGGGGCCAGGTACACAGGGGGCCGAGGGGCCCAGGGGTGACGGGCCGCGGGGCCAGGTACAAAAGGGCCGAGGGGCCGGGGGCCTAGGGGCGACGGGCCGCGGGGCCAGGTACGAAGGGGGGGGGGGGGGGGGCCTAGGAGGCGACGGGCCGCGGGGCCAGGAACGAAGGAGGCCGAGGGGCGCGGGGCCGGGTGGCCTAGGGCCTAGGGCGACGGGGCCGGGGGCGACGGGGCTGAGGCGACGGGCCGTGAGCGACGGGGCCTAGGGGCCTAGGTGCGACGGGCCGCGGGCGACGGGGCCTAGGGGCCGATGGGGCCGAGGGGCCTGGAACGATGGGGTCTAGGGGCGACGGGGCCGACGGGGCCGCGGGGCCGAGGGCCTAGGTGCGACGGGGCCGCGGAGCCAGAAAGGAAGGGCCGCGGGCGACGGGGCCAAGGGGCCGGGAACGACGGGGCCGCGAGGCCAAAAACGAAGGGCGACGGGGCGACGGGGCCTTGGGGCCGACGGGGCAGAGGGGCCTAGAATGATGGGGCCTAGGGGCGACGGGGCCTAGGTGCCGGGAACGACGGGGCCGCGGGGCCTAGGGCCTAGGTGAAACGGGGCTGCGGGGCCAGAAACGAAAAGCCGTGGGCGGGGGGTCAAAGGGCCGGGAACGACATCACAAAAACCCTATGCCAAGTTTGGACGAATTTTGATTTCGATTGTCTTCGCGTAAAAAAATCCGGATTCAATTTGGACCGACGGTTGGAGTCATTTGATAGGAGCTCCGAGACACATCTCGCGACAACGTTTGGCTCGGTTCAAGTTCCAATTTGGCACGCGTGGTTTTCCAGATGACATTCGGGCCCAATCCGTTTTGTTGCAAATTCGTGACCAAATTATTCAAAACTAAATTCTGTTTTTGTTTATTTTGGATATTGAGGATTTTTAAAATTCCATTTATTATTGCGGTTTACAACAACCATTATTCAGCATTCTACTAGCTACAATCAGTCTTAGCACCAGGTCAAATAGCCTACGCACTGGCGGGCCTTGAAAGCGCCCGGTGGGCAAGGACGACATCTCCAAGGTCGCCATCGTCGATGAGGAACTTGTTCGGAAAGACGAACGCACCCCTCGCCGGATCGTGGGGGATCCTCCGCTCCACGACAGCAAAGTGGATCATCTGTTTGACCTTTTCGCACCACTCCTGGTAGTCTGGCCTGTTCTGTTCCAGCTGGCTACTGATTCGCTTGCGACGCTTATCCTGCAGAAGGGGCCATTCGATCTGCAATGTGGTGTAGGGTTGGGTGGATGGTTTATGAGGAGGGTGGGTTGCGGGTAAATGAGCCAACTGAAAGCGGTGATTCAGTCGTCACTATCTACGTAACTCCAAAGGCTTAATTGACCAGGGATTTAGCTGAAGTACAAGCAAGGGGTGAAAGGGATGAGGCATGGGGGTACAAACACATATATACATCCTTACCGAAAACAGGCCCCATGCCACCATGCGGCTCTTGAACTTTGTGAACACCGCCCCGCCCCTCTTGAAGGAGAGCTTGAACGCATAAGCAAACAAGGGGTTGCTGAAGGGCGTCCCGGTGGCCTTGTCAAAGTGCCAGTTGAGGGCCCACTGTTCTGCATTTTGGCAGGGAGGGTATGGGTTGGAAAGGGTTTTGTAGAGAAATCAAGTGGGGGGATGAGAGTCAGGGTGAGCCATATCGCACGGTGATATGTAGTAGCTGCCAACTGGCATATGGTGTTTTCCAGTTGCACATACCATCTCTGTACTCGGCTAGGAGTTGATCGTCGTCGAACCAGGTCGTTGGGTGTAGCTTAGTGGGCAGGCTTTCAACGAGATGGTGGTAATCAGCAAGGCCCGTGCCGGTGTATGCTGCTGGCCTGAGGGTGGAGTTGATAGTTGACCTTGTTGAGGACAGCTGGTGGTTGAAGACTCCCATGGTTGACTTGTCATTGTGCAACCACAGCAGCTTCATTGCCTCGAGCCCTTCTGCAGACAAGTGGACCGAGAACGCGTCGAACACTTCCTCCGGTGTAGGGTAGTACTGTATTTTCTCCGGCGGGTTCAGAAACATGAGCTGAGAGCACACTAAGTAGGCTTTGTTCTGCGCAGAGGTGTAGGGTATACAACACGATATGAGAGAGAGAAACCAGCAGTTATGAGGGTGGCCGTGTGACCAGGGGATGGTGACTAGCAACACTGTGTGAACTTGCCACGTCACACCCTGCGCCATCCACCATGTCCACCAACAACCCGCCCCACTTGCCACGTCACACCCCCCTACCACAAGCCACGTCACCCCCCACCCACCTGACATGCCTCGCTTTGTCATGCGCCACTCACGTGTACCATTTTACGTGCGCCGCTCACCCCCCTACCACAAGCCACGTCACGGCCCACCAACAACCCGCCCCACTTGCCAAATCACACCCCCCTACCACAAGCCACGTCACCCCCCACCCACCTGACACGCCTCGCTTCGTCATGCGCCGCTCACGTGTGCCCTTTCAAACCGCCACGTCATCCCCAACCCTCACCTTCCGCCATGTCACACCCTCCTGCATCCGCCACGTCCACCAACAACCCACCCCATTTGCCACGTCACACCCCCCCACCCCAAGCCACGTCATCCCCAACCCTCACCTTAAACGCCTCGTCTCGTCATGCGCCGCTCCCTTGTACCCATCCCATCCGCCACGTCATCCCCAACCCTCACCTTCCGCCACGTCACCCTCCCCTACCACAAGCCACGTCACCCCCCACCCACCTAACACACCTCGCCTCGTCATGCGCCGCTCCCTTAGACCCTCCAAAACCGCCACGTCATCCCCAACCCCGCCCTGGTTGCCACGTCAACCCCAACCCGCCCCATTTGGCCCGCCACATACCGGGAATGGGTTTGTCTCCTGCAACACTGGCACTCGTGCCTTCTCCACGGCACTCATCCGCGGCGGGATACCTTTCATAGGCACCACTGCGGACCCCCCGGCATAACTGGCAGGTGCTCCACGACGCAGGCCGAGCTGAGCAAACATGGCGTACATCTCAGACCGTAGAGCCTGGAACTCCTCCCGTGTAACAAACTGCTCGTGCTCCGCACTTTCACCTAGGGCACCCAAGAGCGAGGGAAAAGGGTGTGAAGAATCCCCCTTTTGGCCAAGGGGATCAACGTCTTCTGCAGCAGTCCCGTGTGCCCTCACACTATCACGCTGGCGGGAAAAGGGCAGCTGAGGGAAGGGATTGGCAGAAGTGCTTGGCCCTTGGCCGCGCGAAGGACTGGCGAGGGGGGAGACGGCCCTGCCCCAGACAGGAGAAGCGTGGAGCTGCCGAAATGGGTATGTGGGTGAGGCGAGTGGGGAGTGCGTGACGTGGCCTGGTGGAGGGGATTCGGATTCCTCTCCTCTTGGTGCACCGGGTACCCTGGCAGCGACTTTAGACGGGCCGGAGTATGGCGTGTAGAACCTTGGGGCTCTTGTGGATAGCGGGGTAACACTCGCTCTTCCGGCCCCCTTCGTTAGCTGCATGCGTTGCACGCTTACCGGTGGCCCAATGCCTGTAACACGAAGGGCTGAGATTTATAGGGAGCAGGAGCACAAAATTAGAGTCGATTAGTTTCAATACAGGGGCACACATGCTTGCGTACGATCAGCGTTTTGGGGTTAATACGGTTACTGTTTTGTAACAAGAGGCCTTACCTTGTTTGCAGATTCGTCGACCATCTCCTTCCCTGCAGGGGAGAAACAATGTTAATTGGCACGGTTGAGCAGAGAGTTCAGCAGCCACGCCATGTGTATGGGCCACAGTGCTTACCTTTCAGCTGTCCCTTCGGTTTTCTTGCTACCTGCGCCTTCTCGTTGCCACCTTTCCGCGGGGTGCTTTGGCGGCCGCTGCGACGTTTACCGGCTGGTTCTTTGTTGCCGGAACCCACTGGAACCCCTTTGGCGCGGCCGCCCTTTCCTTCACCATCCCCTTTTGATCCCTGGCTCCCTTGCTTCTTACCAACTCCTTCGCTTTTGACCTTCACTTTACGCGTCTTCGGTTTGCCCGCTGCTTCGCCACGCGGGGCGTCACCCGCCCCGCGTTTTCGGGAATGGCAAGTCCGGGCCCCCACCTTCCCTGTACCACTTCCCCGTCTGCCTCGCCCGCCCCGTCCTTTCACTGCCCCAACATCCTCCTCCTCCTCCTCCTCCTCCTCCTCTTCCTCCTCCTCCTCCTCCTCCTCCTCCCGCGCCTCCTCCTCATCCTCGTCGCCCCTCTCCTCGTCCTCCTCCTCCTCCTCCTCTTCGTCCTTCTAGTCATCATTCTCATCCTTTTCTTCCTCCCCAACCTCCGCGTCCTCCTCCTCCGCATCCTCTTCATCCTCCTCTTCCTCCGCATCCTCCTCCTCCTCAGCCTCCTCCTCCTCATCCCCCGCATTCCCCTCATCTTTCTTGCCCCTCCTTCCGCCGGATGTTCTCCTCGCTGCGGGTCGGCCCTGCTTGCGCAATGCATGACCCGTCGCCTGGCCACTTGCTTCCCTGGCGCCTCGCGTTGTCCCAACTTCCGCACCACCGGCGTCGTCAGCACCGCTGCTTGTCTGCCGCCTCTTCGACCGCGTATTGATGTCCCCGGGCACGGCGGTGTCATACTGTTCTTCCCCATAGCTCTTCCTCTGCCTACGCCTCCCACATCCACCAAAAAGGAGGAGAGCCACCTACGTCGGCGATGCTGTGTTCCCCCGCCTTGGCCTTATCCACCACGGCAGCAGAAACTTCGACCACGGTCGGCTGGAGCAGCGTCAGTCCGTGTTGGGATGCCTCCGCCTCGGACTCCTGGGTTGCGCCATGCTCGGCGCGGGCAGAGTCGCCGTGGTTTCCCCCTGTCGCCGACCCCTCTCTCTCCGCCAACGGGACTGCAAGACTCACGCTCCATGTGGCAGTAGTAGCAGTCTTCTCCTTCTCTTCCGCCTTCTTGCCGGACTTCTCCTGTCCAAACGCGGCCTTTTTTCCCGCCAATTTTTTCACCACTCTGCCACGCGCGGCGGATGCATTAGTACCTTTGGAGCTGCCACCACCCTCCCTATCGGTCTGTTGAGACAGCCTCCTCGTCACGCGACGTCCGGCCTGTTTCTCCTCCTTTTCTTTTTGCCGTGTTGCACGTGTCATGTTTGTTTTACGAATGCGAATTTGCGAATTCTGCCATCTCTCTCCGAAAACCTCCGCCTTCAATCAATACTGACATAGTAGTCAGCTGGAGCTCCGGCCCATGACTTAGTCGACTGGTACTACCTAACACGGGTGATCTAGAAACGCGTGTGTCAAACATCGAGCAGCGTCAAAGTTGTGGGCCAGAGGGTGACGGAAGCAGGTGGGTGGGGCACGAGGGTGGTTGGGGTGGCTTGCGCGACTAGAGAGATTACTGTTATCAGATCAGGCTAGATCGTACGGTGTACGTGTAGCCACCCGATCATGAACCCACCCACCGCTCGAACACAGCCGCTAAATGGCGGAAGTACCGCTTGGCGGGTGCTTGTGTTGCAGGAGGGGTCGTTTGAGATGCGTCGGCCAATCAGTGTCGCCAACGCACAAATGAATTGTCATGCTGGAACTGTTTTTGAACCAATTGAGCGAAAGCAACGTAAACCCTGCAAAGTACAGTGATGTCGCGAACGAACAATGTTGCACATACGAGCTAAATAACATTTAAAACTACAACAAATACAATAAAAAAAAAATTGGTTGCTAATGTAATAGTCTGGGGTTGAGGTAAGGTAGTGGGTTTGTATCATGTCACACACACAAAGAGCGTCCAGAATTATTACTTCATACAATTTAACTGAGCCCTATTAGGCTATGCCACAATAGTTACGCGTCGATGCACGAAATCTAACACGTTTTTCAATAGTGCCGACATGGTGAAACAGTTGTCGTATGGTGTTGGATTGGGCTCAATTCTTGCATGGACCTTATAAAAGGTGCACAAAAGGAGTGGTATGAAGGACAGGGTTAACGCACAAGCGGTGATGCGTTATCGACAGCCATGTTCAGACAGGGCGACGGTGCATCGTCCAGGCCCATGTTTTGCGCGACATGGTGAAACCGTTGTAGTATGGTGTTGGATTGGGCTCAATTCTTGCATGGACCTTATAAAAGGTGCACAAAGGGAGTGGTATGACGGACAGGGCTAACGCACAAGCGGTGATGCGTTATCGACAGCCATGTTCAGACAGGGCGACGCTGCATCGTCCAAGCCCATGTTTTGCGCGACATGGTGAAACAGTTGTGGTATGGTGTTGGATTGGGCTCAATTCTTGCATGGACCTTATAAAAGCTGCACAAAGGGAGTGGTATGAAGGACAGGGCTAACGCACAAGCGGTGATTCATTATCAACAGCCATGTTCAGACAGGGCGACGGTGCATCGTCCAGGCCCATGTTTTGCGCGACATGGTGAAACCGTTGTGGTATGGTGTTGGATTGGGCTCAATTCTTGCATGGACCTTATAAAAGGTGCACAAAGGGAGTGGTATGAAGGACAGGGTTAACGCACAAGCGGTGATGCGTTATCGACAGCCATGTTCAGACAGGGCGACGGTGCATCGTCCAGGCCCATGTTTTGCGCGACATGGTGAAACCTGTTGGTGCAACCCTACGGTTTGCATTCGGCTTGTCGTCCGTGTGCGTGCATGCGTGTGTGCATGGAATGGTATGAGGGCATGAAATTATAATATATTTCATGCTTACAATAGTGTGTGAATAATGAGGCATGACTTTGAATGTGTGTGTCGAGTCAATAGCGAGTTATCGCTAGTCGCGTGTCACGTCGTCGTTTGCGTGTCGTGTGCGTTTTTTCTGTTTTGTCGTGTGTGGAACGTTCGGCGTGTCGCAGGTGTGTGCAGCAGACTTCCAAGAACTCAAGGAAGAATTTCTCTTCAAGAACAAGAGCCTTGGTTTCAAGAATCAAGTGATTTCGAAGCTCTCCAAAAGGGTAAAATTTAAGATAGTGAGAATAGTTGCATTACTTTGTGAAGTGTAACATTTCTCTTGGTGTAGGCCCTTGTGGACGGTAGTTTCGAGACCCTTCGTGGTTGGGGTCAGTGTGGCACTGTTCCACCTCACTGTACCTCGACTCTTTGGGTTTGTAGGAGCTGGGAGTCATTCCCAACTCGTAACTCTTCCTATCTTGTGTTCTAAGACTATAGTGGCTGCCATAGTACCGTTCGTTCAAACCGAAGCTGTGTCGTCAATTCTTTATGAAATCGTGCACTCTAAATTTCTTATTGTAGGCGACGCAAGACGCTCTAGATCCAATTTGAATAAAGTCATTTGCAGCTGTGAGCAGAACGCTATCAACGTTTGAAGCCGCTGTGCATAAATCCGTCTGTGCTCTCTATCTTTCGTTTTAGTCACATTCAAGCCTATTGTGACAATAACAAGTGGTATCAGAGCCCCTTGGAGCAGTTTCGACAATGGCTGGACTTGAAGAAAGGGGTGGCAGAGGTGCTGGTAGCAGTGGAGAAGCCCAAGCTCAAGGCCAACCCCGTGATTCAGCCATGGCGCCCGTGCAAACAAGTCTTGGCTCACCTAGGGATGAGCCTAGGGTGTTTGGGCTTGACAAGTTCAATGGCGACAACTTCGCTGAATGGTCCTTCAGAATGGAGAATGTATTTGACCTCTATGACCTTCTGGAGGTGATGGAAGGAACGGAGAAGCGCCCCGAGAACGACCCGGAGAAGAGCCCGTGGGTGCGGAAGAGCGCACAAGGCTATCTCCTACTTGGGCAAGCGTTGGGGAGCAGCCAGATCCGTCACATCAAGCCATTCCAGCGTGAACCAGAGAAGGGACCAAAGGCATGGGCTGCTCTCAAGGGTGTACACGCTCCTGCAACAGCGGCGGTAGCGGTGGTGTTGGAACGGCAAATGGCGGCACTACGAATTGAAGAACACGAAGCGGTTGAAGAAGGGGTGCAGAAATTCTTTGACTTGTTGACGCGGCTTGAGGGAGCTGATTTGAACTACAGTGAGCTCCAAAAGAAGACCAAGTTGCTGGCCTTACTCCCAGAGTCATGGTCCTCGCTCATCATCAACCTCAATCGTGACTTGCCCCGCCTCTCGCTTGAAGACGTGAAGCGAGCGATCCTTCAAGAGGACTTCCGCCGCCGTGAGTTGGCGAGTGCGGATGGCGCCGGGGCAGCAAGCATCGACCGAGGGTATGGCCGTGGAAGGGGCAGAGGACAAGGGGGAAGCATATTTGGCAGCAACAACTTCAATGGAGGCCGCGGGAGTGGCGGATACGGCGGCGATAACAAGAGCTACGGACGCGGTCGCGGCCGATTCGACGGCGAGTGCCACTATTGTCACAAGAGCGGACATATGTGGCGCGATTGCTTCAAGCTCCCTGATCGATGGACCCCTGCTCAAGGCCAAGAGGGTAGAGGAGCAGGAGGAGGGAGAGGAAGAGTCCGTGGAGGCCGTGGCGGTCGCGGAGGTGGTGCTGCAAGTATGAAGAGTGCCGGCAACGAGAGCGAGTCGAGGGACGATTGCTTTCCGGGTCAATTCTTCTTCGTGTCCATGCAAGCACCGGCTGGTCCAGAGAAGGATGAAGGCTTTGATAAGCCAGCAGCTGTAGGGAAGGTCACGCTACACTCCCTGGACTATTGGGTGATCGATAGCGGCGCTACCTATAGCATGACACCTCGTGCGGACTTGCTCACCGAACTTGAGCCGTCACCGGTGAAGCATGTGACATCGGCTTTGGGGCAGCGAGCAGAGGTGAAAGGCATGGGCAAGGCCATGTTCAAGGGTGCTGATGGGAAGATGGTGGGCCTCAAGAACGTGCTTTGGGTGCCCAAACTTGCTGCCAACCTGATTTCCGTGCGGCGGTTGCAAAAGGCCGGCATGGACACGAGCTCGAAGGGAGCTAAGACCTACAGCGCAAGGCTTGGTGAGCGCATTCTTTGGGACCTTCACGAGGATAGAGATGTCTACAACGAGATGTGGCAAATCCCTGTGGTCCCCATGCCTAAGGAAAGTCAAGTGGCAGCAAGCATCAGCACCAAGGGTGAAGCGGTTGGTAGCGGCGATGGCGCGAACGGTCGCGCTAAGGAGATTGAGTCTAAGACGTGCAATCTTGGAGGGACCAGCAAGCTCGGTGAACACAAGTAGAGTGGTGCAGCAGCTCAGAAGCAGCACAAGGGTGAGGAGAACCCCAAGGCAGCAGCGGAGGAGGAGTACGGAGAGAACATGTGGGGCACTATTGCGAGTGCGGCATTCTCCAATCCGACTTCGGCTACGGGGGAGTGTGATTGGCTCACCTTGCATCGGCGAATGGGGTATGTGACCCTGCCCATCTTGCAGCAGCTAGTGAAGAATGAGATGGTTTCTGGCATACGTGTGAAGGGGGAGCCCGATGAGGTACTTGGCTGCCCGACGTGCATGCAAGCCAAATTCACCCGTTACCCGTTCTCTAGTTCGGAGGCAACGGCTAAGGCACCACTTGATGAGGTGGTGATGGACGTGGTGGGCCCCCTGAAGCTTGGAGCTGCTGGAGCTGAGTACTTTCTCACCATAGTGGATGTCTACACTCGCATGACCTGGGTGTACTTGCTGTCCAAGAAGAGCGACGTGGCTGAAATGGTGAAGACCGATTGGTTGCCGATGGTGGAGCGGCAACAAGACCGGCTAGTGAAGGCAATTCGTACCGATCGAGGGGGAGAGTTCTTGAGCAAGGATTTCTCATTGTGGCTGAAGAAGAATGGCATAAGGCACTCCCTTACCATGCCATACTCCCCTGCAATGAACGGCATCGCCGAGCGAGCGAACCGGACAATCACGGAGACGGCACGCGGGTTGCTCATTGAAGCCGGGCTACCCGACTATTTCTGGCCTGATGCGGTGCGAAGTGCGTGTGTGGCCAAGAACAGAGCTTTGACTCATGTGGGAGCAGAGAAATGGGTGCCCTATGTGGAGTGGATCGGAAGGAAGCCAAAGGTGGATATGCTTCGGGTGTTCGGGTGCATGTGCATGGCGCTCGTGCCTAAGCATCTTCGGCACAACAAGCTCGGTGCCAAGGCGATATGCGCTGTGCACTTGGGCATGGCTCAAAACAGCAAGGGGTGGCTTCTTTGGGACCCATTCACCAAGAAATTATTGGTGAGCAGGGACTGCA